TTGCACATTTTGAGTTTCTCGTATTCTTTATGGGTTTCGCGTTTTCCCTCTCTCTCGGTGCTGGGTTTTGCATCTTCTTCGGTAAAGATTGAATCTTTTTTTTTTTTGTTGGTATGAATGTTAAGAAAAAATTGAATCTTTTCCCCTTCAATCTCTTTCTGTTCCTTGTTCTCGTTATTCGTTTGGTGATTTCGCGAAATGGGTTTTCATACGATTGCTATTACTTCCGATTGCTCCGTAGTTTGTAGGGTTTTACTACGATTTTGTCCATTGAGGTATCTCGAGTTTGTATATTGATCTAATGCATCATCAAGTGTTACTGATTTTGGTTTGATTGTTCATGTCATCGCTAATTTGCTATCACCATTCTCTTATTCCTTTAGTAGATTTTTCCCTTTCATTATCTGTATCGGTTACAAGAGATGATCTTTATTTGCATTTCCTCCAAAATTGCTTGATTGATTAAGGAAAGCTCAAGATTTTATTCTGTTGCTGTATCTGCAGGTGCAGGATGGGTGATCTTGAACCACCTTCGAAAACCACCTGTGAAAACACTTGTTGATAATCCACCTGTGAAAACACTTGTTGACAATCCTTTATTGGATTTCATAGGCTACAAAGGTCTTGTCAAAAAGTCTGAGTTCATTAGGATACTCACTGATGCACTTATCTCGCTCGGATTTGACGACATTGCAGCCCTTTTAGAGGAAAGGTCTGGCATTCCTCTGCACAGTGCTATTGTTAAGCAGTTTCTGAAACTAGTCAAAGATGGAGAATGGGACAAATGCATTGATGCATTGCAGGGATTTCAACTGCGTGATGAAAAGCCTGTGAGCTTCTTGCTACTAGAGCAAAAATTCTATGAGGTTTTGAATACAGGAAATGTTACTGATGCTCGCAGAATTTTAAAGGAGATGGTGCGTCTTCGTGTTGACACTAATCGCGTTCATGAGCTCGCATCCCAACTTATAATATCAGCTCCTGGTGAAGATACAACAGAAAGTGTGAATTCAAGGTCTGAGTTTATGGAGAAGCTGCAAGACTTGTTTCCTCCTGGAGTTATAATCCCGGAAAGGAGGTTGGAGTATCTCATAGAGAAGAGCCTTGTAGATCAGGTGTATCACTGTAGTTTCCATAATGTTCCGGATAGTGATTTGTCCATATGCTATGATCATGATTGTGAGGATCATAAAATTCCTTCGGAGACTGTACAGGTAATAAGACTAATGTTACTTCTGATCTCTTGATGATAGTTAATGTTGAAAACATTGAGAGAGTCCCATAAATTTTGCTAAAACATTTAAAGTCTTTGGATAAATTCTTGCTTTGTGTTGTTGATTCATTGATTTCTTTATATGTGAATGGTTCAGATATTGGAGGAACATATCGATGAAGTCTGGTTCTTGAAATTTTCACATAATGGCAGATACTTGGCGTCTTCTTCCAAGGATAAATCAGCAATAATATGGGAGGTATGTAAACCAACTGTGGCTTGCGTTAACTACTCTTTATGATGCTTACCAAGAGCCATATACAGATCAAGCCGTTTTTCCCTGTTATAAGCTCAAAGTAACTTAGATGTGCTTTGTTTCAAGATCAATGCAGAGGGGAAGTTTTCACTGAAGCATAAACTTGAGGGCCACCAGAATCCCGTGGTAGAAGTCTTATGGAGTCCTGATGATCGACAAGTAATTACATGCGGAGAAAATGAGGTTATCAGGAGCTGGGATGTTGATTCAGGAGCATTTGTTGGCTCGTATGAAAGAAATGGTGTTGGTTCCATTTCTTGTGGATGGTTTCATGATGGTTCAGGTATAATTGGTGGAATGGCAGATAGGCGCATCTATTTGTGGCATTTAAATGGGACCGAGATAGAGCACGAGCAAGGCCAACGGGCACAAAATCTTTCTGATGTAGCCATGACGACTGATGGGAAGTGGCTTGTAAGCGTGGGCAAGGAGCAGCATGAGATCTCATTTTTTGATAGAGAAACTAACAGAGTTGAGGATGTTATTGTAGAGGAAGACATGATTACCTCGTTCTCGCTTTCGGATAACAACAGCTATCTTCTGATCAATCTCATTACACAGAAGATCAATGTCTGGTACATTCAAGGTGAACCAATGAAGATTTTGGGATTAGATGGCCACAAGCGTAGTCGGTTTATTATCAGGTCTTGCTTTGGTGGCTACGACGAAGATTTCATCGCCAGTGGGAGTGAGGATTCTCAGGTATAAATCTCTCATTCTCTTAGAATTCTTTCGGTCTCAGAAACATTTTCCTCTGCAAATGAGTGATCTTTCCCTCTCTCTGTTGTTGCAGGTATACATATGGCACAGAACAGAATGGAGGGAACCTTGTCGAGTATTGTCAGGACACTCAGGAGCTGTGAACTGTGTGAGTTGGAACCCGACTGATATGCATATGTTGGCCTCGGCGAGCGATGATGGAACCATTCGGATTTGGGGAATTGACAAGAATTTGAACTGATGCAACAATGGTAACTGATGATAATGACTTAACTGCAAATTTGTTCATTTGATATACATCATGTACATAGAGACCTTTTATGTGGATGGTGTTGTTTGCATTCTTCATTCTTCACACAAGTTTGTATACCAATAGACAGTAGTGACAAAAAGGGAAATAGAAAAGCAAAAAAAAAAACCGATTTGAGACATTTGCTCTTGTGTTGATGCTTCACTTTTTTTCATTTTTCTTAATGTACTATTGCTGCTCTCTCTTGCTCCATTTTTTTAACTTTCCATAGAATCTATATCTGAAATTGGTATTGAAATTTTTGTTTTTTCATGCAATTGTTACATTGGTTTCGTTTGAAGAAATTATAATTTTATATATTGAAAAATAATTCTAAACATTTTTTGAAAGTTAATTATTTCAAAAAAATATATGTAAGCGAATCATTAAAAGAAATTAACACTCGAATAAGGTGACTAATATTGTTGTCAATATTAAATTGGATTTTCTTGAATAACTATTTATTAAAAATTGATCACACTCATTTACATAGGCGAAAACAAGTAAGCGCGAAAAGTTGGAT